AAATAAATTGGAGACAGGTCCACCATAGAGAAATTACTCCAGGCTGATCTATCTTCAATCTCTGTCTTAAAACTTGGTTCAAAATTGTGTTTTTTGACCATTCTGTCTCCAGGGCTAGCAGTTACTGKAACAGCGGTAACTGCCCAGGTGGCACAGTAACAGTAAAGCTATCTGAAAATATAATAAAACAGCACAAAGTGATTGACTGAAAATAAAAGGAATCCTTTTAATTTRGTGAAAGTCTACACGTTAAAGCTTGAACAGTACGCACAAACAATGATCAGATTAAAACCGCGAATTTAGAAATTTTCTAGAGAAATTTTGAAAGAAGCCATTGCATCTACTGCTCAAAATAACATAAATAACAAAGAAACCTTTAAGCTGCTGCCATCATGGTGACCACACACCTGTGTCGGTCACTCCCTGACCGCCAAGGTATTGAGGGGCAGGCAGAAATACRTTAAAAACAAGACTCAAACAGTCACTGGGAGAAATCTCTAATTATAACATATAGCAGGTTTTATTTCAAAGCTGCACGGTGAGATGCAGAAGACAGGCACAGTGCTTACTGGCAACCTTAATTACCAAACAGCTGGAGATCAAAAGCAAAATTAGATGTTCTGGAAGACTTGTTGTATGCCCAGATTCTGTTAAAGCCTTAATGAAAGTTGCTTAATTAATTTGTAAGGAAAAGCATTTTCTCAACTGGCACATTTACAAACTATACTATTTAAAAAAATGTAATAATCTGGGTTTTGTCATGGCTGTTGGGGATGAGTCAACATTGCCCTCTAATGTTGGTGCCGAATCAAAAGTGAAAATGAATGACTGGAGTGGCTGTTTGAAAGATTGCCTTTTTTATTTTTTATTTATTTATTTATTTGCTGGATGGTAGAAAATGAAATAAATATGTATCTGTGGGCTGAAAGCATCACRGATCAATACCGGTGACTCAGCAGGCCGGTGAACTTTCCTGCTTTCAAAACCCACTTTGCAGGCTCTGCCTCTGGAGCAAAAACACCCACAGCTGCTTCAGGATCTGTCCACAACACTCCGTTCAGTCAGAGGAAAGTAAACTGGAGTCAGGGATAAATAATAATAATATAATATCTCAGCTAATCTGTGCATAAAAAATAATGACTCGTAAAGATGTTTGCAGGTCTGTTTTAATGATACTTTACTCACATAAAGACTTTACCTTCTGAACTTGTCATAATTAAAAACCATACTTTCTACAATCAGACGTGAAGTGACACTCGACAGTTTTACAGTTTACACACAATTCAGTTTTGCTTTGTTCTGGTTCCACTATATTTGGCGAGCTGGTCTCAGATTGTGTCAGTGTATTGTTGAATACAGGAACATATTGTCTCTTCTTCTTTCTCTTCCCCAATATCCRTTTTCACTCAGGCCTCTGTGCCAGACACAACCAAAACATTTCTCGTCCTTGCCTGCAGGGTCTCGGGGCCCCTCGATGTTTTGAAACTATGAGTGTTTTTATCCTCAGGCCTTGAGTCTAATGTCCTTGATATCTTGTGTCTTTTTAGACATTTGTCTCTGTGGAGCTCATGAGGTCCAMTTTTGAGCAGTTTTTGTTTGTTATGTTATATGTCTATATACTGTATATATACTGTATATTACCCTTTTCCCATTAAAGGGCCTGTGACATGCATATTCTTCAAATGCAAAAAAGTCAAAGAAAACATCTATATATTTAAGAAAGTTGGAATAATACACAAGATCTAACCCATTTTGTCTCTTAACTGGCATATTTTCTTTTGAACTTGGCTCAGCCAAAGAGAAACAGGAAGTGACATCAAAGGGGAACTCTTTAACAAAGAAAACTCTGGTCTTTGTTTATTGAAACAATATTATTTGAACTCTGACTCTTCTTCATCTCTCTGATAGTGACTCAAAACAATCTTAAGAAACATCAGATTCTTCTCTACAGTCTGGGTCGTTAGCTGTTGTAGCAACGCTCTGTTTACATGCAGACATTCCCCTTTGACATCACATCCTGTTACTTTACAGGCAAATATCTCAACAACTGTTCATC